TCATAGCCCTGCTAATTGGGTCAGGACTAGTTGTGACCTACAGACTGAGGCCAGATGTGACTAAGGGAAGTCAAGACACTAAGACAACCAGGGACAATGTTCTCAGGTAGAAACTGCTATGCCCAGTGGTTGCATTCCTACAAATAGGGTAAGTTATTCTGGTACAGATATGGTATTCACAGCACAAATGGCTAGCATAGTTTCTTCTATGGCCACCACAGGGCTGCAGGCTGGAGTCCCAGTTTAGCTCATTATTCATGCTTGACCTCATGACCTTCCCAGTGAGTTTTTGCAAGAAAATCTAAATCCAGATGGGTCAGACTTGCACTTTGGCAAGACTTGAGTGGTTATACACTGCTTTTTTAAAAACCAAGGTTCTTGAAATCATTCATTTCAAATTTACAAATATTTTTAAATATTTGTATTGTCTCTCTTTGTAATTTATTATTTTTTGCTTTAGTTGAGCTCAATGTTTTTGTCTATTTATCCTTAAAATACTCTCACTGTCTTGCTCTTCCCCTTAAACTAATTTATTGTCTCCTCTTCATAATCCTGATTAGGGAAGTCTAGATTAGAGCCTGGAAATTTACCTTTCTAGCCAGTTTTCTTGTTGTTTTTCTTTTTCTTTTCATTTTATTTATTTATTTAGTTAGTTATTTATTAGAGAGGTTTTTGCTATAGGGCGCATGCACTCATCAGAAAGAGAGAGACCAAGAGACAGAAAGCAAGAAATCAACCCCCGGGGGGATGGCCACGCAGCAATCCTTCCTCCTCCATTCTCCTCTCAGGATCTTGGGCATGCACGCACACGCACCCAGCATGAGTTTAAGCCACTGGGTCTGGAACTCGAACTGCAGTCAACTACATGGGAGTCCAGCAGCATAGCCATTACGCCAGCTGCTAGCCCCAAAGCCAGAATCTTAAGTAACATAGAGATTGGTTTCCATAGTAGAATACTGCAAATAAACTAAAATATAAAACTGAATGAATGGAGGTGGCTTGGGGTATAGGACCACCATTCACCATTAGGAAGCTGGCCATTTTTGTTACAAAATAACAATCAATTGTTAAGTTATTACCTATTGTCTTTTGGAACTCCAGCTGTTAGTTTAGAGACTAGAGCTTTGAGGACTTGGCCACAAAATGTCAGGATAATCCATTTGATTGGCTAGTTCTTGTGGCTCTCAGAAAAAAGACAAGCTATAGTTCAAGCTGGCATGTCTAAAACTAAATAGGGAGAACATGATGAGTTTTTAGCTTTCTTAACACCATTTCACCCAAATTATTGATAGGAGACTAATGAAGGTCCTACAAGTATGTATTTTGCTAAAATGCAAGAGCTGAATATTCTGGGCCTCTAGAGCAGGGGTTCTTAACCTTGGTTAAACATTAAAACCCATTGAGGCTTCACATCCAAGACTGTTCTAATTGGTTGAAGGAATGAGGGTACTGTTTTCAGGTATTAGAACTTTTAAATATTTATTTGAGTGATTTTATCATGTGGACAAGACTGAGAGCAGAGGTTCTCAAAGTGAGATCTCCAAACCAGCAATATCAGCATCAGTTGAAAACTGGCTAGAGGGACCAGCAGTTGGCGCAATGGCTATATCACTGGACTCCCATGTAGTCGACCACAGTTCAAGTCCCTGACCCATGTTTTAAACTCACTCCAGCATGTGTGTGTGCATTTCCAAGATCCTGAGAGGAGAATGGAGGAGAAGGGATGCAGTGTGGCCATCCCCCCTGGGGGGTGATTTCTCGCTTTTTGTCTCTCTGTCTCTGTCTTTCTGGCGAATGCACATACCCTATAGCAAAAACCTCCCCCAAAATAAAGCAGACTTTCAAGTAAGAGGAATATGAAAGAAAAAAAATACCTCCTTGGCCCCGCTTCTTTTTTTAATTTAAATTTATTTATTTACATTCATTCACTGAACATCATTACAGCATACAAAATGAGATTTTTCCATCCAGAGTACACTGTATATTGTCTCAATCAAGCACATCAACATACATGTTATTGTCAACAAATAATTTTCCATTTCTTGTTTCCTGTATGTTTTGCTTTTTTTCCCCCCATCCTTGATTCCCTATCTCTTTCCTTCTGCCATCTTCCATTCTTCTCCCACACTGTCTCTGGTATCTATGTTTGCTTTCTATACTGTTTTTCTTCCACATTTTATTGAATTACTAAAGATCTTTATTGATCTAAATATTTTCATAGCAAACACAGCTGATATATACATTTCCATGAATACAAGTCTAACTTTAGGCATCCTATAAAGTAGCACCTACCTGGGACTATATATCTTTCTGCAGTCATCGAATAGATTTTTTCTGAAACTTTTTTTTAACTTAATTTACATTCTTTCCGTAAGCATCATCACAACACACAAAATGTTACTTCCCATCCAGAATATACTGCATAGTGACTTAATCATGCATATTATTAT